CTTTCAGAATTCTGTCTTTGTATTGTACATGTAGTTTTTTTACTATGATGTGTCATGAAGAGTTTTTTTTTTTCTGGTCCTGTCCCTTTGGTGTTATGCTTCTTATATTTGTATGGCATGTCTTTCTTTAATTTTGGGAATTTTTCTTCCACGATTCTGTTGAAAGTCTGGTCCATGCCATTATCTTGTGATTCTTCTCCCTCCTGTGTGCCTATGACTCATAAGTTTGATCTTTTTATGGTGTCACACAATTCCTGCATATTTCATTCTTGTGATTTCTTAAATTTTTCATAATCTTTGCTTGACTCCTCTTTCATCCACTTTATCTTCCAGTCTTGAATACTCTGTTTTCCATTTTGTTCATCCTATTGGTGAGGCTTTCTCCTGTCGTTTCTAATTGGCTGAGTGTTTCACTTCCTTCTTCATTTCAGCCTGAGTAGTCTTCAATATTTCTAAGTCTTCTGAATTCATTCAGCAATTTATCCCTATCTTCTCTCAGTTTTTTGATTTTTTTTGGTGTTCTTTAAATTCACTGAATTCTTTTACCATGTTTATGATTGTTCTTTTCAGTTCCATGTCCTGCGTTATCTCTAGTGGGTTCTCATTTTACTCCTCTAGAGGACTTGGTTTTTCATGTTATTATTTTTCTTTGTGATTTTGACGTGAATTTCTTTTGTAGTTTCTGGTTCTTGTGTTAGACTCAGACTTCAAGTTTAGGTCTGCTTCTTTTTGTAAACTTTATGTGTCTGTGGTTTACCTTTTGGGCATGAAAAGCAGGTTCGTCTAAGCTTCCAGTTCTCTCTTTTGATTTTATATTGGAGTGGCCAGATTGCTTTTGTCTTCAGGAGTTCCCACAGAGGCCCAAGTCAAATGAGGATCAGATGCTCTCAGGCTTTCTCCTAAGGTCTGGATCCCTCCAGGAACAATTTTGACCTCAGGAATTTGGGGGTTGGACTGGCCTGGGAGCCTGGCCCAGGAAAGATGCTGGTCTAGGGCAGCTGGTGGCCATGTCCCCCAGAGATGCAAAGGAAGATGGAGCAGGAAGAGGCTCCAAGGACTCCTGGGGACTGCGCTGAGGAGCTGGGTTGGTCTGGATGCAAAGGACCAGGAAGAGGAAAGGTCAGCCCCTGTGTCCCAGAAAGAGGCTGGAGGGTTCTGCAGGCCCAGGGAAGCAGAGGGAGAAGCAGTGCTCCTGGGACCCAGAGAAGGCATTATGTTGGTCTGGATGAAAAGGATCAGGAAGCAGTATTGGTTCCCCAGCTGTCTGGGGCCCCAAGACAAGGAATGGGGCAGGGCCCAAACCAGGAGGAGAGAATGGTGAGGGAGATGGGAGGGTAAATGAGGCTGTGGGAGTCAAGGTGTGGAGAGAGCAATGGACTTACCCCAGAGGCCTGCGGGTAGCAGAGAGGCCTGTGGTGGGTCCTGCAGACCCAGGGAAGAAGAGGGATGTGAGGGCAGGGCCAGGCCCAGAAGCAGTTCTCCTGGTGCCGAGAGAAGGCATTACATTGGTCTGGGTGAAAAGGATCAGGAAGCAGTATTGGTTCCCCTGGTATCTGGGGCCCCAAGACAAGGAATGGGACAGGACCCAACTAGGAGGAGAGAATTGTCGGGGAGATGGGATGGTGAATGAGGCTGGGGCAGTCAAGTTGAGGAGGGTGCAATGGACTTACCCTGGAGAGAGGCCTGCAGGTAGGAGAGAGGCCTGTGGTGGATCCTGCAGGCCCAGGGAAGCAGAGGCAGGGAAGATATTTTAAAAATTAATTTACAGTTGAATATCATTGAATGATCAAGATGACATCAAGTAGCTTTCCCACATGTGTTCAGGTAAGGTACAATCATTCAAATTTTATTAGAAAATGGCAGCCTACTGTGCATTACTTCTGAAATGGAGGTCATGCAGGGCTGCATGGAGTAAATAACACATTTTACCAGGAAACAACAGAATATCTACTGGGGGCTTAAGCTCAATTGTGAACTAGTCACAGTTATATTTAGATATTGAACAATCACATAACTCCCATTTTGAATTTCATGATTTATGCATATGTTAATGTAGCTATATACAGCAGGTCTTTGTATTCTGGATTCCAAGACTCCTTTGCTCTGAGTCCACATTAGTTTGGTGTAAAAAATATTATCTTCTTTTTCAACTGCTGCTACTGCAATGACATGTTCAGATAGCTCAGATATGTTTACATAGTCCACAACTGACTTGATGCTTCTTTTTAATTTTTTTCCTTATTTTTATTTTATGTATATGAGTGCTTTGACTGAATATAAGTGTACCTGTGTGTGCAGTGTCCACAGAGGCCAGAGGAGGGCATTGAATCCCCTGAATTGGAGTTAAAAACAGTTGTTATCTGACATGTGGGTGCTGGGAATCGAATCCTGGACCTCTGCAAGAACAGCCAGTGTTCCTAACTGCTGAGCTGTCTCCCCAAACAATCTGCATAAGATTTTCAATATTCAATTCATATGTTGAGTTTTTAAAACATATTTTAGTTTGAACTGACATATTAATTGTTTGTGTTTATGATGTACAGTGTAAATATATTTGTAAAATATACAGTGATTATATACATGAAATTGCACAGCTATCACATTGTTGTATCAAATATAGGAGGGAGGTAGGTGTGTAGTGCTTTTGTATAGTTCAGTAAATGTGCCTTTTTATTCAGTGTCTTACCCTTCTCCACATACTGAACAGAATTGGAATAGATAAACCAGATCATAAGAATAAAGGTGTACCAGAACTCCTACCCCTCCTCCTTTCTCTCTTCTTTGAAACAGGCTCTTACTCTGCAGCCCTGCCTGATCTAGAACTCATTATGTGGACCAGACTGGCCTGGACCTTGCAGTGATCCTCCTGCCTCTGTCTCCCAAGTGCTGGGATTGAAGATATACACCACCTTGTCTGGTCTGGTCTGAACTCCAGACACATAGGCAAATATAATATACTTAAGATAATTACACATGCTCTTTTGTTCATATTTTTAGAATTATCAACAAAATTGCTGAATTAAAGTTATTGAACATAGACTAATACCTGACTAAAATAATCAACTCTTTACTGAAGCTGGGTATAAAGTATCATTTATGAAATTTGCATCCAATTTAGTCTTTTTTGGGTAATCCAAATCTCATTTTGATACATGTCCTGGACTGTATAACTCATGTGTAGTCATGGGTAGATTTTCTCTAAACATCCCCAACAATATACAGCAGCCCTTGAATCCGTGGGCTCTGCATTTATGTGTTTAGTATCTGCAGATGGATAGTATTTGACCAAAAGTTCCACTGCCCTGACCCTGTACAGACTATTATTTCTTGTCACTGTTCCTTAAACAATATAACAACTACTCAAGTGGAATTTAGATAGTATTAGGTGTTATAAGTCATCTGGAGATGGTTTAAAGTATGTAGGAGGATTGCATAGGCTATAAGTAAACACTAATACAATTTGTATTAGTATTAGATCCTGGCCTCCACATGGAGTCCATGGAGTCCTGGAACCAAATACCAGTAAATACACAGAGGCTACCTGTGAGTGTGTATGTATACAGTTTTATGTACAGATATAAGCACTTACACACATATATATTATTGTTTAGTTTTCTATATACCAAAAGGAAAATACAAACAGTTTCCCTATGTGTCCTATGAATTTTTTTTTTTTTTGGTCTTTTTGAGACAGGGTCTCCTTATAGCCCCAGCTGTCCTAGGTAGACCAGGCTTGGCCTTGAACTCAGGGATCTGCCTGCTTCTGCCTCTCAAGTGCTGGGACTAAAGGCATGCACTACCATGCCTGGCTCCTATGTATTCTTAATTCCACCCTATTTTTGGGGCAGGGGGAGATGATGCTAATATTTAACAAATATCTTTAGATGGTTCTAACACCTAGTCATGTGGAATTATTTTTTTTTAATTTATACAGATAAAGCTATTACTGAAAAAATGCACCATGACACTGGAGCTGGAACATGCTATGGGTAGCCATGGAAAGTATTAATTACATACAAGGGTCTTTCTGTCTGCTGAGAGGAGCTCTCAGTAACATACCTGTTATGATGTAGGTTCATATTGGAAGAGTGGAAGTGTGTTTGCTGCTAACAGTTACAGCATTTTTTTGTTTTAAAGATGAAAAGGAACATACACATGCACATCTTTATTCTTTTTAAGTAATTAAAAATACAAGAATGCGGACATGGTTTTATTTTTTTTTCCCAGGACTATAGAGTTAACATTTTCTTGAGACAGAAATGGAATGACCCCAGGCTCAAGCTTCCTAGTGACTTCAGAGGCTCAGATGCATTGACAGTGGACCCCACAATGTACAAGTGTTTGTGGAAGCCTGATTTATTTTTTGCAAATGAAAAAAGTGCCAATTTTCATGATGTAACCCAAGAAAATATCCTTCTGTTTATTTTTCGGGATGGAGATGTCCTTGTGAGCATGAGGTACCCTTTCCTTTTATATTTGATGCTGTGCATTTATATTTCCTTTTCCAACCAGTGGACCACAGAGATTGGATTCAGTGATTCCAGTTTCTCCATTTCTGATTTCAGGCTGTCTATTACTCTTTCTTGCCCTTTGGACTTGACTCTGTTTCCCATGGATACACAGCGCTGCAAGATGCAACTTGAGAGCTGTATGTAAATTAGGCTATAAATTATTAAGAGAAAATGCTTATGTCGAGACAATATAGTCTACCATATTATATAATTCTGAAAAACTACTGTGTTTGGTGATACTCATTCTGATAATCTTAGGGAAAATAGTTACAGTTTTACTATGTTAAGTTGTATTGTGATACATCCTTTGTGGCTGTGCACGTCGTATGCTAAAGGCTGCCCTTATTTGAATTGGTAATACAAAAAAGGTATAGAAAAAGAGGGTTTTCTCACTAGAATAATCACCCTTATGTTAAAACCATATTCTCATAGTAAAAATATTCTGTAAACCCAACCAAGTATGCATTTTCTATGACTGTATAGAACAATATATTATTATTTTTTGCAAATTATATTTTTCATGTTATGATCACACCTTTTTCAGCTTATAGTATTTGTAGCAATAATAAAGAGGACAAGAAATTGAGAGACAGTTGAGGTTATGGGAGGAGTTAAAAGGGGACTGGGAGGGATAAAATTATGCAAATACAATACTTGTGTGAAATTCTCAAAAATAAGAAAGATATATTATAAAATTAAAAAAGACATACTAAATATAATGACTTACATTTTCTATAAGATATATTAATTATTCTTTATGATGATTGTCTTTTGAAAATAAAAATAGAAAAAAA